GTGATGATCGAGGCAAAAAAGAGCAACAGTAGTTTACGTAGTGCAACCTCATATACCCCTAGTCCCAGAATTTTTTCCCAAGGAAACGGTGGTTATAGGGGTTTTATAGGTGGGGAATTAGGATAGGCAGTGAAATATACTTTAATAACCGCTACATGCATTTTTATTTTATTGTATTCAGAAATGTTGATGATTTATATCTTTTAGATTGTCCTAATCTGTATTATCCTTTAACATACTGCGGAAAAACCCGGTTATAAATAAGCAGATTTCTTGAAATTCCTGAAAAAAATTGAACTGGTGGTTAGGAGGTCGTCTACTTCAACTTACCTGAGGTCCAGCTTACTTACTTCTACAAATTTCCTTCACTGCCTATCCTATTTCCCCATCGCCAAAACCCCTATAAACGCCGTTTCCGTAGGACAAAATGCTGGGACTAGGAGTATATGAGGTGCACTACCTAAACTACCTTTGCCAACAAAAAAAGAAAGGAATTACCGTTTGATTATTAATCGAAAGAGAATCGCGGTGCTGAGGATCTTGAAATTGGCGAGCACCTAAAAAGCACACAAAAAGAAATTGTGGAAACACGTTTAAACAAAGCGTTGCCAGTAAGCATTATTACTGCGTTTTAGGGCATCGGAGCAGCAAATCTAAGACCTGGATGTCATCAAGGCAAAGCCAAGTTAACCACGTGCTCTAACTGTTCACATAGTTTACGCTGTATACAGGCCACCTTTAGGTAGCACAATGTACGAGTTGTTCGTGCCCGAACAAGTACTCCAAAGGATGTTTTGTGTTCCACATAGTGACCCGTATTAAGCAGGCGTTTAGTAATAGATGAAAATGAAATTATGTTTTCCCGTTTCAACAGCTATCTACACAGGATCTCTATAGATCCAGCTGTCAATTTCCGTATGCACTTGCATCCGTAGGTGCAGATAAATTCATACACATAATTTGAAGTGGTGTGCACTGCCAAGGCACCCTTTGTGTGTGGAACTGGTAGAGGCTTTGTAGGACTGCAAAATATGAGCTCAGCCGCATTGTATTTCCGTTCAATGGTACAACGAAGGCATCGCCTAAATTGGTGCCACCATTGAAGATATATAAAGGCTGTTTCGAAACTGACTGTTCCGTCATTTTGGCCGTAGGAGGTTGCTGTATTGAGTAGCCTACGTGGCAATTTATTATGACCTTGTACGAATTCAATTATTGTATTCTGTCATAGGTTATTCATGTTCTGCAGCGAGAGGCAGTAGCTGCCGAGCACTCGCGAACGCGCACGGACTCAGTAAATCCTACATTCATTGCATACTTCAAATTTGCACCAATGAAAAAAAAATGCTTCACACTTGACCCATTTGTTGAGGAAATGTCGGGTTAATTCACATGCCCTTGGCGTTGAATCCGGTTTCAAAACGGTTCTCATGATTATACAGGTCAGACTGAACACCTGTTCATATCACACATACATGAACATAATCTGAATGTGAGTGAGACGGGTTTTGACGGATTATCACAAGGGGCTGCCGCTGACACCTTCGCGACACAAACTTAATTTCGCAGCTGCAAAGATAACCGCCCACGCCGACACCAAGGCCGGCTGAGAGGTAACTGACGTCCAAACTTC